CCTGCTGAGGCTCTAATAAATTTTCTTTGCCGTCATTAGACTCTCCATGTTTCAGAATGAATACTTTATTTCAATCTATCATTACGTTTACTGGTTCTTTCTTCTTCCTTCTCCAGTCTTGCACTAAGGCAAATACAGTAAATGTTTTCATTTCATTAATTTCTTTTTAGAGTTTTCATTTCTTTGCTGGCATTGACTGAATGTTCACTCATTATGTCCATAGTTTCCATGAAATTACTGAACATATTTTAAATAGCAGCTTCAAAGTTTTTGCCTGCTAATTCTAACATCTCAGTTGTTCCAGGGTCTGTTTCTATTGCCTGCTTTATCTTTTTGACTACTTGCATGTTTCATTATTTTTGACTGTAGATTAGAATTTTTCCCCATATTTTTGAAGTTCAGGTGCCAACCAGTTTTTCCAAGGAGGTTCATTTTTAGATTTGGGGATGGTCTGCTGTTATTTCTTCTACCTTAAAATTTCTGTCCTATTTCATCAATTAGCAGGTGTTTTGACAGTCCGGAAATCGGCCCTCTGTCACCTCAATACCATATGACTGGTTGTTTCTGTTTTTCTCCTAGTTTATTCCCTCTGCATGACATCGACTGGGCAGTGTTCTCAGGAAAAAGTATTAGATCATCAGGAAAGTCATGATGTATTTTTTCGATTTTTTTCTATGCAAAAATGCATCATGACTTCCCGATGACCCAATAATATCGATGTTGATATTATACAATCATTTTACCACCTTTCAAGGATCAAATCCTTTCTGCCTGCTTTTGGTGTCTGTCCAGTACCTACAGATAATCATGTTCTTCCCAAAGTTCATAATTTTCACTTGCATGGGTGTTAGTTAGATACATCCTATTCTACCTTTTTCAGAACTGAAACTTTTGATTTATTGTTTTATTTTTCAATGATTATGATTTCATCTTCAATCTATAATTATTAGATTTATATTCTAGCCACCTAGGAAATGCTCCCAGATTCTCCATTATACCAATGGTCCTTCCTAGTACATAGTGTTGTTTTTTATAACTGAATTTTAACCTATCACTATTTCAGTGGGAATAATAACTTATTTCTGAGGATACTTCTTAGACATCATTTAAAAATAGATATTAGATGTGTATTTGCAACTCCATTTCTGCTCCCTTTTGCTACATTAGCAAGGTCACCTCTCAGAAGAGAAAAAAATAAAGTGAAGCTTCTCGTCCTGAATGGAAACTGACATGCGACAAATAAACCTGCAAGTATGCTCAGTGTGCTTTTCTGCCCCCCTTTTTTCGTTCCGGTGACAGGCTCTTTTGGAGATGAAAGCAGACATTATTTTCCCAGTGAGGCCTAAGTGTCTTTGAAATCTTCTTTGCTGTCACTCCCTGATAATGTGAACTCCTTTGACATCATTATGGATTATCAATATGCTCTTTAGGTTTTCTTAGTCACATGAGACAGTTGCCGAGGTAACTCAGTCTAGACAGGTAATTTCTCCTTTTTTCTACAAAGAGTCTAAAAATAGTGCCTATGTAAGGATGAGTGTGCATGATCGTTAGCAAACTGGCTCTGTACAAATTGATTACTTTCTGTACTTAATTACTATGAGGAACACAGTGTCAGCCATTTAATATGAGTGTCATGCCTTCAGCTCATTTTGTATCTGCTTTAAAAAAAACTCACTGTCTACAGTGAAATGGTTGAATCAAAACAGGAATCTCACTGCACAGCCTACTTCTTAGAAACTAGCTAAGGTTAAAATAAAAAGCACTAACAGAAATACCCCTTTAGCACCAAGGCACATTTAAACTTATTTTTCTGTATTAGTGGATTTTATTTAATATCCCTGTAGGCCATGTGAAAAATCATTTCATTATTTGCATCTATTGATAGCAATACATTTTAAACTATATAGAAAGATACAATTTCCAACACAACATACAAATATGCAGATAGAAGTTAGCTTGATTAGGGATAAATATATGTCTTACTTAAATGTTACCTGCAATAGCTTCCTTCTCAGGCTGATCGATAAATTTGAAGACGTAAGTGTGCAGTAGCCAGTTAAGGAAAGCTAACAGTGTAACACACCTGAAACCTGTTATTATGCTACAGAGTAATTCCTCACATTTTCATCTACCTACATCTCTGAACATTTGGATCCCAACAGCTATAATTATACCAACCAGATACTGTTTTTCTCATACCACTAATCACTCTATTGAGATTTTGCTGTGCATTTTGTCTCTATAGTTAGTTGTACTTCTTGACTGGGGAATACACACACACACACACACACACACAACTGAGAACATTTAGCAATGCCTTGAAATGGTTTTTGTCATCACTACTTGAGGGGAGTACTAATAGCATCTAGTAGGTAGAAGCCAAAGATGCTGCTAAATATCTGAGAATGCTTTAACAGTCCCCCAAACAAGGCATTGCTGAGAAACCCTCACCTAGAACATGATGAATCGTCAGCAAAACTATACCTTTCATGTTTCTGAGGTTTATAACTCAACTGGCAGCTTCTAAAGTAATTTTTAGATATTTTTAGTTTATATTTAATCACTGTATATCTTTACCATGTACAACATGGCTTTTCCCAGCATGAATACTTAGTGCCTATTAGTCAAGTCAGAGTCATTACTATGTACATTCGCATCAACAGATAACCTTCACCTGTGTCTGTTGCATGTTTTGATTGTTTTCTCCCTGATCCCCTCCCTCTCACCCATGTCCCACCCCCTATTACTCACTCTCTCCTATACTGTCTCTAGTATCTACAGTTACCCTCCCTGCTATTATGCCTTCCAGTCTTTCAGTGTCTGCTATATTAAAAACATAAACAGGGCAACATGTATGTTACTTATATTACTTCTAACATAACACAGTTTCATTCTCATCAGGACTTTCTCTCTTAATTTGCCTGATTTCGCTTGAAAAATTAGGGCAAGTTATTAGTGAATGATGAACAGAAATCTTAAAACTGCTTCCCCCCCTTCATGTTTCCTTCCTGAGTGCTCTGGGTTTGGTTCTCTTTCAGTCATCCCCTATAATGAGACCCACTGACCTTCGAGCACCACCTGCACATAGTCTTGAGCGGACAGCTTGTCCTTGCGCACAAAGCACTGGTATGCGCCCCCGTCACTTTTGACCATGTGATCCATTATAAGGTTTTCGTGGTTGATCCCTGTGATCCTCACATTTTTTCCAGGGTTGAGGATTTCACCATTTCGATACCAGGAGAGTTCCTGGTCCTCAGTTCCTGTTACGCTGCAGGACAAGGAAACCTGGCTGCCCACGCTGCTTTTAACCTTCCTGGGACTGATGGTAGCTTTCAGTGGCTCTGGAGATTTGGATAAGAGAGAAAAATAAGGTATCGATATTACTAGATATCATTTCAACATCATGCTGAACTTTTTACAAGGCAAATGCGTTACTGCAAGGGTACCCTACACGGTTCTGATATTCAGTGTTATTCTTTAGTGCATCAGTTTGTTTGGGGATAACCTCTTTGCTATTTGTTTATTCAGGCCTTCTTCTTCTATGGAACAGGTAGAATAGTGTTGATCAAATTGCTTTTGTATTGAATACATGTAAGGATGATGGTATGGATCCATTGGCAATAAGAAAACAATGTCCTGGTTATTAACAGAGACATGAGTATTTGCATATGTAAATCCTGTTTCTCTTGATGACCCAAAGTAGCACTGATGGGTTTTCCCTGGACCTTTCTCATATGCACATATACTCACTCATAGGCTGTATGTGGCTTAACCAGGCCCAATAACACAGAGCTCTGTAAAAAAGCAGGTTGATATTAGAATTTGCGACCACAAAACAGAATTTTTTCTTTAAAATAAGGCCAGCTGTTTTGGACAAGGATAAACTCCTATTCCTGAAGTCTTACGTTTTCAATTCGACAACAGTAATTCAATGTATAAAGCATTTATTGAACATCTACTCTGTGACAAGGATGGGTCTAAACTCATATGTGAGACAAAATGACTATTTTTTAGGTATAACTTGCTTCTACAATAAAACTACTAACTATAGTTTATATATTATTTAAGTCAGTCTTCCCATAATTCTGTCATTTTTGTGTTATCATTTCCATTTTATGGAAGAAGAAATAGTTACTAAGAGAGATTAAGTAACTTAGAAAGGGAAACTACTCAACAGGGAAACTCAACTCTACTCAATGGCAAAAAACATTTTAATCCCAACTCCTGATTTCTCATCTCACCACACTGTGAAGTCTTTGGTTCCAAGGAGCTCAGTCTTCTAGACTGATAAGACAAATACAAAAATGACTAGAGTAACCTAGCAGAATAACACAGTGGCCATTAGAGACATGGAGGAGAGTTAATAAGAAGACCAGAAAAGTCCTCAGGTAACAAGCACAGATAGAACTGAGGTCCATTGGAGTGGAAAGAGGTATTGTGGAAAATGGGAACTACATAAATCAAGACAAAAGGCACAGCTATATCTGAAGAAGAGCTTTTGATTCAGTTTGGATACAACAGAGGATCTCTGAAGGAGAATTATGGAAGAAAAAATTAAAAATAGCTAGGGCAAGATTGTATAGAACATCAAGGTTTTAAAATTAAGTCAGAGAGGACTAAAGGAAGCATTCGAAACTGTTTAGCTAGTCATTACCATAGTCAGACATACTTATAGAAGAACTGATTGATCATATGGTGTTGGATACATTCAAGTGAAAGAGAGCAATAACTAAAGAGACACTGCAAATGTGCAGTGCAGGAAAAATGAAATCTAATCTGAGACAGGGCAGAGGTAGAGCATGTAGCTGAAGAACACTGAAATTAATCTCTAGGATTTGGCAGGACTTGGGTACAAAGGAAAGGTTAAAGAGGATGCAAGATCTAAAGTTTGCATTTGGGGGCGAGAGAGGGAAGATGCTCTTCATACTTGTCATATGACAAATACTCTGGAAGGTAGAAATGGTGGAGAGTTCAGTTTGGTACTGTACACCACTGTTTTAAAGTGGCTGATGAGCACATGACACACAATTGAGAGGCACACTTGTCTGATGCTCCCGAAGGAAGCAGAGGTTAAACATACTGATTCAGGGCTTATTTTCAGAGAGTTGGCATTTGAAGACATACAAATAAAAAAAAAGAGTATCCAAAGGAAAGAGAAGAGTTCTAAGAGAAGAGGGTTCTGAATTTGGAACCCAAGAGAATGCTTTCCTTTACAGAAGGGAAACAAGAACAAAGATTCAATGTTCTGCACTCAGAAGGAAAGAAAACATTCAAAAAGGGTCTGAGAGCTCATCTAAATGTTGCAGAAGGTTTTTAAAACTTAGCACATTCAGAACTAAGGGTTTTCTACTAACAGCTTTTAAAAGAAGATAATGATAAATTCCTTGAGAGAGACAGGGTAATAAAATACTAGGGGGGTGGAGTTGAAAACAGGAGAGAAATGGGAACCATGAACTAATAAAGATGGGGACTTTCAGATTTCCAAGCATTAAGAAATCTTCCACGTGGAAGGAACAATATAATAACGTGACTTGCAATCAGGAAAGAAACGGGTTTCACAGGGATTAAGAAGTTAGACTCAGTAGGAACTGATTCTTTTTTCTTTCTTTCTTTCTTTCTTTCTTTCTTTCTTTTGTAGCAAAACATGGAAAATCTGATCAGAAAGGTTTGTTCATAATGCCTTCTATACAATCTTAAAATATTGACTTCATTCAATAGCAAATAGGGAGCCAAGCAAGGTGTTTTAACACAGAAGAGATTTTGAACATGTGGGAATAATTTGTACTGGGCTGCAGTGCTGCTGGATCATTTCATCCACATGTTTCTTGTTTGTTTGTTTTTTTATTTTTTTGGAGAGGTTTTTGCTTTAGGGTGTGTGCACTCACCAGAAAGACAGAGAGAGACAGAGAGATAGAAAGCGAGAAATCACCCCCTGGGGGGTGGTGGCCATGCCACAATTCCTTCTCCTCCATTCTCCTCTCGGGATCTCCAGCATGCACGCACATGCGCCTGGCATGAGTTTAAGCCATCAGGTCCAGGACTCCAACTGCGGTTGGCTACATGGGAGTTTAGCGATATAGCCATTACGCTAACTGCTGGTCCTATGGTTTTTCTACAGAAGTGTAACTGTGAAGATGGTGTCTTCCATTGCTTTCTAACCTCAGTCCAGGCATGTTAAGCTATTTGAAGAACTCAGACTGGACAGTTGGTTCTAGATAGTCATTTGGATGTTTAATTAATTAATGTATTACCTTAGGCTCTTATTGCCCCAGGGTTGACACTGAAGAGGCATTTCTAAAAACAGGCATGGGGTTTGAGAAAAGCCAGTTTAAGAAAATGCTTTCATTTTCAGTGTGAGAGCCTTGTGATTCAGTCCATTCAGTGCAGCTCTTCAAGTAAAAATACTCATATTTAAAAAATAGGGTCAGCCACAGTGATGCAGTGGTAATATGATACCACGTGATGTTGGGGCCATATAGGAAGGATCCAGCTCCACATCCCAAGGTCTCTTTGTACACACTGGGTAAGCACCTGTACGCCCACGATCCTGGCTGGCTGGGACTAGGGATAGGATTGAAGTATGAAGACACTAAATGGTATACATTTCTCTCTCTCTGTTTCCTTCTCTCTTGGAAGAAATAAATAAACAAACTTAAATAATAAAGCAGTAAGAGAAGTATTATATCAACAACTAAGAGACCTTTTGTCTGACCAGGTTCTTCTACCCCATTCTGGGATCTTGGGAAATTCACTTTGGTTTGTTTCCCTCATGAGTAAAATCGAGGGTTTTGATTAGATTAGAGTATGCTCTTTTTGTGATCGCATTCTTCCTTCCTCCAGTTCTGCCTTTACATATTTTTCGGTACATCCCTCAAGGAAGCCACTCCAAATCAGTTGAAGATAAAATATGTCTATCATATTTGGACTAAAGAATCTATATTACTGAGTTTAAGTGCTACATTTTTGATAATTTAAACCCTTTATTTCTGGCTATAATAGCTCCATTTAGAAATTTAAAAAAATATTTAAAAAATAAATCGATTTATTGATTCCATGATGCAGGCAAAGAGAGAGATAAAGAGAGCAAGATGAGTGCCTCTGAGGGTCTCTTGCTACAACCCATCCCAGCCTCAGGCAGCCAGGATGATAAGCATGTACCAGCATCTAGCAGGGAGCCCTCAGATGGGAACTCAGAACCTTCCCTTCCCTCACAAGGCAGGGAGTATGGTATTACTGCTGTACTGCTGTAGCTGGCCCCCACTTGGGACTTCAAATAGTAATTGAAATCAAGCCAAGGAGGATTACTTGGATTGGCTACTATCACTTGTGCTGGAAGAGCAGTTCTGTCCTCTCTCTCTCTCTCTATTTAAAAAAAATTTTTTTGATAGATTTTCGCTATAGGGTGCGTGCGCTCGCCAGACAGACAGAGAGAGACATAGAGACAGAAAGCGAGAAATCATCCCCCAGGAGGGATGGCCACGCCGCAATCCATTCTCCTCCATTCTCCTCTCGGGATCTTGGGCACGCATGCACACGCATCCGGCATGAGTTTTAAGCCACCGGGTCTGGGACGCGAACCGTGGTCGACTACGTGGGAGTCCAGCGACATAGCCATTACGCTAACTGCTGGTTCCCTCTCTCTGTTTATTTTCAGAGGGGCTGTCCAGGGCTATATAGCTGAGTCCAATAGCTAGATGATGCTATCTTGGACTGTGTATCAAAATAGGTTATTTTGTGTTTCGATGGAAATCACAGAAGTCTGAAGATCAGATAGGTCCGAATTCAAATTTGACACATAATGCAGTTTTGCAATCTTGAACAATTTATAATTTATCTAGTCATTCATTTCCTCATCTGCCAAATAATGCTACTGTTGATCTCAGTGAGACTAATAGAAGGCTGCAAAGAAAGCCAAGAGATTTCATAACAGGTGCTCCACCGATGACAGCCAACACCACCTTTGCAAGTTACCGCCCAACTTACGTTTCACGTACAGGCGGCCTATCACCTTAGCAGTTCCATATCTGTTGGACACTTCACACACATAGCTGCCTGAGTCTGAGGGACGAGTGTTCTCAATGAGCAGCCCTGTCACGGTCTTCTGGAACCTCCCTGAAAGTTCCAGGGGCATGTTGTCCTTCAACCACCGGTAATCTGGCTCAGGGTGCCCAAGCGCTTTGCAAGGCAGCTCCACACGCTGCCCCGCCATGGCTTTGCGATGATCAAACCCATCCAGTATGGATGGGGCTGAGTTCGCTGGGTCTGAAGAAGAAAGAAAAACTCTTAAAATCAGTGATGGATAATTTGAAGTCATCATTTAGAATTATAGGACATTATGTATAAATTAAATCCTATACATCATAATCATTTTGCTCTTTTTATACTATATAGTCTACTATAACTATATATTAAACATATCCTAAAAATAAGTCAACCACATAAGTTTTAAAATGCATTTAAAATAATATTTGTCTTTAGAACATGTTTGTCATTTTTATGTGTGTGTGTCTGTGTGTGTGTATGATGTTTTTTTTTTCCTCCAAAACTGTGTCCTAAATTTACTTGACCTATTTTTTCATGTTTGGTTATTTAACAACTTCGTATGCATTTAGATTTATTTGCTTCAGTGTATTTTTTGTTGTTTGTTTGTTTGTTTATTAAGAGACTTTTGCCTTAGGGACCATACATTCACTGGAGAAAAAGAGACAGAAACAGTGAGAGGGAAAGTGAGGAATCACCCCTCAATGTGGTGGCCATGTTACAATCCCTTATCCTCCATTCTCTTTCCCAGGATCTTGGGTATTAGCGCGTATGTGTCCTGCGTGATTTTTCAAGTCACCAGGTCCAGGACTGCAGTTGGCAGTGTGGGAGTCCAGAGATGTAACAGCTACGCCATCTGCTGGCTACCAATGTAATTTCTGTTTTTAACCTTATTTTTTAGAATTTAGTATTCTGAATATAACACAGAGACTCTAAAGTTAACACATATAAAGGATACATTCAAAAAGTCTTATTCTTATCCACATCAATGTTTCACTTTTTTCTCTAGTTCTAGTTTTCAGTTCCAGCATTTCTTTCCAGTATTTATTTTTTACATATATATTTTTATTTCTTTACCTTTCCAACATAAAAGAACAGCACGCTAGATATATTGCCTTGGACTTTTCTTATTTTACATCTAACAATATAACCCAGAGATTTCTCCACTATGGTAATAGACATTGTCTTTATTCTTCTCATGCCTGTGTATTATTTTATTTAGAACTATGTTTTATTTATTTAAGTATTCCTTATGATAAATATTGGAGTTGTTTCCAATATTTTGCAAGTACAAGTAATTTTATGTTTAGTAACTGTGCGTAAGTCAGCCTTCTGCCATTCTACCAGTGGGAAATCTTCCTACATTACTTGCTCAAAAAATATATGCAGGAGGGACCAGAAGATGGTGTAATGGTTTTGTCACTGGACTTCCATGTATTTGACCACAGTTCGAGTCCTGAACCTGGTAACTTAAAACTTAGACCAGGCGCATGTGTATGAATGCCCAAGATCCCAAGAAGAGAACAAAGGAGAAGGGACTGGAGCATGGCCATCCCCTCTGGATGGGAGGAGGGTGACTTCTCACTTTCTGTTTCTCTCAGTCTCTCTGGTGAGCACATGTGCCCTATAGCAAAAATACCACTTAAAAAATAATAAATAGATTAATACACTATTTTGCTAATATTGACAAATTTGTCTCCATGGGGTAAGACTGTATGGTTTTTAAAAACTCTCAGAAAGACTGATCAAGAGGTGAGGGAGGACGTGAGAGAAAAAGTGACAAAAGTCAGGAATGTTAAAAGGTCATCAGTGTAGCACTGGTAACCAAGATCCTAGTAAACTCTTAAGGCCTAATGGACAATCCTATTTCTGGTATTCACTCATTCCCAGTTCATAGCCCTGTGACATCCCAACCCAAAGCATGGAGAGTCTACCGTATTTCACCTAGTGGGGCATAGACTCCAATTTTTACTCTCTGAACCCACTAGGCTTTCAAAAGCATTGCTTAACTCTCTTCTCAGTCCTCTGCAATTTTCTCTAAAATTGTCCCTTCTTCAGTATCTGACTCACTTCTTTTGGTTGTTTTTGTCCCTAAAATTTGGCTCTATAATTTTTCACATTATCGTCTAATAATGTCGACAAGATATTTTTTACACAATTAACCAGCCTTTCTAGTTGTTTTCAGAGAAAGAATGACAAATCCAAATATTTCATTCCAAGTATAAATTTAACATCATTTTGGGACAAGCAGTTAGTGTAATGGCTATGTCGCTGGACTCCCATGTAGTTGACCGTGGTTCCAGTTCTGGATTCGGCAGCATAAACTCACACCAGGTGCATGTGCATGTGTGCCCATGATCCCGAGAGGAAAAAGGAGGAGAAGGGATTTAGGCATGGCCATTCCCCCTGAGGGGTGATTTCTCAACTTCTGTCTCTCTGTCTTTCTGGCGAGTGCACGCACCCTACAGCAAAAACCTCTCAAAAAGGTACAGGTGTGGCATTTCACTGTGGAGTGATTATGTGTTCTTTAATTACATGGCATTTTCTTGCTTTATTGTTTTGTATAATTAATCTGATCTATTATTTAGTTTTTCTTTTTAGGAGATTCTAGCTATACATGTGTTTTATCATCTTTGCAAGTCATCTATATATTTTTCCACTAATTTTTCCCTTTATTTGTTTGGCTTTATGCTTTTATTTTCTTTCAGTTCCTCATTTTATATATTATGTTTTCTGTTGTTTTTATTCTCTGTATTCCTTCTAATTTAAATTTTAAAACTTTTCATTTTTTTCCTAAATTTTCTAATATTATGTTATTTCTTAGTTCATTTATTTTTATCGTCTAGTCATTTTATTTCTGGTTTATATTGCTATTTTAGAGCTTTAGTTATTTTTCAAGCAATAAATTATAGTTTTCATATAATTTGTATCTGTGTTTTTTTCTTTATGTCTAATTGTCAAAACTTGTATATGTTTTTTCTCATGATAAAGTTGTGTGAGATCAATTTCCTTTTCATTGTAATTTTCAATGAAATAGAGCTTCTTAGTTAAAATTAGGAGACTCTTCCTGCATGAAAGGATGACATGAGTAACTCCAGCATTCTCCCATGACAGCACCCAGAAGGACTCCAAATTGAGCCCATTTCTCAGAGGTACTCTGGTTTTTTGTTTTTGTTTTTGTTTTTTGAGAGGTTTTATGCTATAGGGCACATGTGCTTGCCAGAGAGAGACAGAGAGATAGAAAATGAGAAATCACCCCCCCAGGGGGGATGGGCATGCCACAATCCCTTCTCCTCCATTCTCCTCTCGGGATCTTGGGCATGCATGCACATGTGCCCGGCGTGAGTTTTTTAAGCCGCCGAGTCCAGAATGTGAACCGCGGTCGACTACGTGGGAGTCCAGCGACACAGCCATTACGCTAACTGCTGGTCCCCAGGCAACCATTTTTAATTACCCAGTGTTGAACAGCTTTACCTCCCATCTTTCCTCGTAAACTATCAATGGAAATAAAACAAGATAGTGCTCAACTATGGAGCAAACTACGTTTGGTTAATTCTATCTCACTATTAAAGTAATATATTATGTTCATCTCATGGAGCAATTTTATATTCTTCAGCTACAAAAGAGAGGCATCTTATCTTTGATTTTCTAATACTAAGATGGATATTTTACACTGCTAAACTGCTTCCGAAGTGTTAATGCATTACTACCACGTAAATGGATGTTTATTTGTGTGACAGATGTGCCAGAACAGTCAATTATGAAGATAGTACAAAATGTTGATATTTTCTAAATTATAAATCCCATGCTGACATATTTTTTAATTGCCAAAGGATGTATATGCTCATCAGTGAGAGAAAGAGACAGAGTAAGGGAGAGAAAATAGCCCTTCTCCCCCAGTGGGTCATGATCACTCTGCATTCACTTTTTCTCTCCATTCTGTCAGGATTTGGGGCATGCACTCATATATGCCCAGCATGTTTTTCAAGCTGCCAGGGCCAGGGCTTGAACTATCATGGCCATGAGGGATCTAGCTCCCTTAACCACTTGATGCAGGGTCAGCCCCCACAATCTACATATTCATCCAAAGAGAATTAACTACTTTTAGATCTTTTTTTCACTTGAGAATAATCCTAGGAGATGGGGGCGTGACTATCTTTACCTTCCAATGTGGGTAATGCCTGCAACATAATTAGGTATCACCTGGGGGACTAAAGGCATGTTTCATGGGACCCTCTCTTCTCCCCAAGAGCTATGTATGATGGAAATCACGATGGTGCTGTTTTGTGCTGTCAGGAGAAAAAATATACATCTATGTCGGACAAGGAAATGTTGATTTCAAAACCGAAGTCTCTTTGGCCAAAGAAAGAAACTTGGAGTTTTACAAAATGTGAAATCACTTAGCTTGGATTATATGTACGAGTATTAAATTGTATTGATTCTGGTTTCAAAGACCTCTAACATTGCTAAGATATTTTGGAAAAGCAAATGGAAGCCTTCATGCTAGTCACAAGCTCCACAATTTTGATGGCATCGTTTAAGACGCTAACAAAAGAATAGCAGAAATAGAAAAGTGTCTTGATAAGTTTTACCTGATACAAAAAGTCTGGCACTGTTACTCTGCCTCGTCTCTCCAGTGTATCTGTGCCGCGTGACACAACGGTAGTTATACAATCCATCTTCATTCTGTACATCTTTAATATACAAGGCTCCCGTGGATGTGATGAGAAATCTAGATCCTGAAACAGAGGGAGACAATCTTGGTTGAAATGGAATTAACGCAACCCAACCACGTCACTCAGTCCTGAAACAGTCTTCTCACCTGAAGAAACCTCATGGAAAGTCTAAAAACAGGTCTGAGTATTACTTAAGGATTCAAGCCATTTTAATTTTTTAACTAGTCTAGAAACTTTTAGTAAGTTAGGCATTTTTAGTAAGAGTATTACACAATAAATGTATACTTAGCAACTCTAATCTCATGAACTAATTTTTTTAGGTCCTGAATTTATCCTGTAGCAACTGAGTTGGGATGTGGCAAACTGAGCACATTTTCTTGGTGCATCACCTTTCTCTTAGAATGTGATTAAGTGA